CTTGACGACCCCCAAAACGAAGAGCATTTACGTCTCACCGACATGAAACTCAGGCTGCGATTTTGCCAGATCCACTCCCGCTTCCTGACTATCTTCACTGATGACAGCCTGGGCGATATCGCCTCACGGAAGTGCATCAGCAGTTCCCAGCATTGCGTCAAATGGTTCCGATGAGGGAGCCGAGGCAGGACAAGACACGTCATGCGGCCACAGCTTTCGGACAGGCTCACTTTGATCCTCGCTGTGTTCTTCGTAAGAGAACTAGCGATAGACTACAGAACAATGCAGACTGAACGCATCTAGTCTTAGCGAGGGCCAGCACAAACTCTATAGTATACCTTCCGAACACACCATTCGTGAGCCTAGGACTAAACCACATGACCGCTCTGCAGCCATGACCAACACGTCCAAACTCTCTCGGAGCTTAGACACATATGTGTACATGCACATAACAATACACTCGTACATGAGATTCTATCCTACTACCACCCTTTGCTTACGCGATCTTTGTCTGCGCTTACAAATAAGCTGCTACAGGTCAGCCCAATGCAAATGGAAGCTCGGCATGTAATGTATTTCAGTATGCTGATGGAGTTCAGCATGCTCACTGCACTGCAAAGGTTTCTCATGATACACTTGCGCGGTACAGTACAATCACACGACGGGTCAGATTTCACCCATTTCTCACTTTCTCTTGATGCATAACCCTAACCCGCAATTGCTGACGATTGTATCATATGTCACAAGGTAATGCTGGTACTCAAAGATGACAGGCCCAGGGATCTCCATAGACAGGAAGCGATATGCTGACTTCCGCTCGGGTAGTTGCGGCAAAGGCTATGTCAGACGACACGAGGGTGAGCATAGGGTGACAGGTAAGCGACACACGTAAGGCGGAACCTGCAGTGAGAGTGTACGAATCGAGCCTCGATGCCTAGTTCGTTCGAGACGCTAAGCACTCTGCTGCTTAACTTTCTCACGCATGGCCGCTTGAGAAGCGCAAGCTGCTTACTGCCAAGCAGACCCGCCACTGCGGCACGGTTCCTGTGACGGCAGCCGTGTGCTGAGACGAAAGATTGTGCAAAGTGCTTATTGCGGTGGTTGATTCAGGTCATGGTCGGGCGCTTGGCTGTGTTGTGAACGCTTGCATCGCCAGCTCTGCCCAAACAACACAAACACAGATATTGGCCTCATCGAAGACCCAGTTATCGCAGCATTTACGCGACATGCAGCGGCCCTGCATACGCATGCTCACGATGTGGCACGTGCTGGCAGGGTCGCTGTGATGGCTTGGCATGCCTGTGGGCGCAATTGTGCTGTTTGACCAACCATACACCCTCCTCACCTCGGCGGCCTTTGAAGTCGGATACGCCTAGACGCCCAGCGACAAGATGACCCCGTCGCCCTCACTGCCCAGATCACCGCGGCGGCATCACACCCTCCTCCGCCACCCTGGCCACAACGACGTCAACGACGTACTCTTCGAACTGCGTGCGATCGACGCGGTGACGGTTGGCAGCCATCACGGCGAGGAATAGGCATCTCAGCGGCCCGAGACTTCGAGCGTCCACGCGCGACTCGCACTCGACGCCTGCGCGATACTCGGAGCAAATTGGTTCAACGGCTCGCTTTCGACATCACGCAACCCTGACGAAGCGCGCGACACCCGAGTCGATGCCAGTAGCATATTGGCCGCACGCGGCTATCACAACCACCTCGACCGCCACAGTGATATCAATAGACCCGACCGACCGTATCGTATCGTCCCCATTTTTTGCGATTGCCGTTCTCTGCACGAAAACATGCTCGCGCATTGTGAGCAGGTTTCAGCAAACGCGGTGTCCCAACGTTCGACCTTTCCACGCTCCGACCATACGATAGCTTTGCATATCCGCGACGGAAATTGTCATACAAACGGTTATCGAGAAGAACTGCTGGTTGCGCACATTGTACCGCAGGGTGAGCTGAATTGGCAGATGACCGACAGCACGTTTCAACACAATCGTAGTCTGACCAGCGGTATGGATGATACGGGCAATGTGTTGCTCTTGCAAGCCAGCCTGCACATTGCCTTTGACAGGCCTCGGTTAGTCTTTATGCCGAAGCTTTCGGGTAACGATGTTGGGGCGCGGTTAGTTCCCCATCCACTCAACCCTTCAGCAGAGTTCGAGCACCTCTACCACGACCGTGAGCTGCACCAGTCAGACGTCGGCGTTGGGATAGTGTTCACGCGCTTCGCATGGACGCAGTCCTGCACGACTGCGCAGTGCAACTGAAAAAAGTACGTATGATCAGTGGACTACTGACCATGATCCAGGATAGTACATATCGTCAGCTAGGCTTCACAACTAAATACTGATGAGTGTCGTGCTGCTCAATGCTGTTTGTTGTGCCAGGAGTACTGTGAGCAAAAACGTAAAACTTCATTTCCAGATCTAAATCGAGCTATTGAGTGCTTGCATGACGAACAGCTTGGTGTTCCCCAGAACGGCGTTTTCTTTTTTTCTTGCCTGGACCAAGCACGGCGCCTGAACTTGCCACAGAATCGCACTCAGTAGGTTCCTGCTCGGGGGCTCTTGCCGTACAGGGTCGAACCGCCAACTGCCCCAATAATTTTCGCCCATCTTCCACCCATATGTGTCCATGACTTCCAAGACGCGCGATGCATCTTTAAACTCCAGATAACCCCAGCCAGATTTCTCTTGCGACCATTTACAGCCCTTCATCTTCGGCAAAATGCTTTCTTTGAAGTAGTTCTCCCATCTGTCGGACAGTCGTTGCGAGTACTCGGGAGGACCGAATGCGATCATGAAGCGGGACATAGTTCTAGTAGAAGCCGCAATGAATAACATGGTTGGCAGGCGAGCGGCCCACCCCACCAACTTTCTGCGCCTTGTGAACTCGTCCCTATTATGGCTCCTCCAATTCAAGCCCTACTAACCTCTTCTGAAGTTAATATACACCTCGCAATCTCAGCTATCAGCAGAAACCAGATTCAGTCTGTAAGAGATGCTGCGCAGACATTTGAAGTCCCCCGAACAACGCTCCGACGCCGACGCGCTGAAAAGCGTATCCGAGGCGATTGCCTACCTGACTCGAGGAAGCTCACCCAGTTAGAAGAGGAGGTGATTATTAGCTATATAATCGATTTGCAACGTGAAGTTTCGCCTACGTACGCAGCTATACGTGATATGGCTGATAAGCTGCTCGCTGCGCGCGGCGAAGGCCAGGTTGGACAGAAGTGGCTAGCCAACTTTATCAAGCGTACAGACAGTCTCACGACGTGTTTCGATCGAGCGTACCATAGACAGGGAGCTCTGTGTGAGGATTCTGCATTGATTAGACGCTGATTTGAGCTCCTGGAGCAGACGAAGGCCAAGTACGGCATCTGTGATGATGACGTCTACAACTTTGATGAGGTTGGCTTTATGATGGGGAAGATCACGACTCAGCTGGTCGTGACAGCGTCAGAGAGGAGACGCAGGCCGAAGGCTATCCAGCCAGGCAATCGCGAGTGGGTAACGGCGATCGCTGCGATCAACGCTGCTGACTGGTCAATACCGCCGTTCCTCATCTTTGCCGGCCAGTATCACCTCTCTACCTGGTATGAAGAAGCAGATATCCCACACGACTGGGCTATCGCAGTCAGCGATAACGGCTGGACAACTAACGAGATAGGAGTTGAGTGGCTAAAGCACTTTGTTAAGCATACTGAGGGCAAAGTGGTTGGAGCACGTCGGCTGCTTATCCTTGATGGCCACGAGCGCCACCAATCGCTTGAGTTTCAAGAGCTCTGCAAGGAGAACAACATATACACGCTCTGTATGCCACCTCACTCATCTCACCTACTTCAGCCTCTCGACGTTGGCTGCTTCTCGCCATTGAAGCACGCGTACAGCCGTGAGGTTGACGCCTCTGGTAGAGCAGCTGGAGTAGGCGTACGGAGCTGCACGTCTAGCTTTGATAGGACAACGTCTGGCTGGAGAGGAACAAGGCTTGCACCTCGAAAAGCTGAGCAGATATTGGCTGACATGAAGGATTGATTGAAGGCTGCCTCAAAGGCTGGCAGGAAGTCAAGCTTGGTGATGTAGTTGATGTGGTGGCGGATCAGGGCTCCCTGGGAGGCTCGTACGCCGAGCAACGTACATGAGCTTGAGACGCAATCAACGTTAATACGTGATCGCGTTCAGCGGCACAAGAGCTCATCGCCTGCCTCTACTATTGAAGCGTTTAATCAGCTTAAGAGAGGGGCTGGGGTTATGATGCTCTCGGCTGAGCTGATGCGTGATCGGATTACCAGCCTCGAGCGAGCCAACGAGGCAGCGTCAGCGCATAAACAACGTAAGAAAAAGTGTATACAGAAGCAAGGGACTTAAACAAAGGGAGAGGGGGAGGATTTACTCGCTCAACGCGAGGTTGAACAGCAGATTTTTCGAGAAGAGCGTCAAGGAGGAGCGCGATCAGGCCTTAGCCGCCAGGCTCTGGCGCGCTGCACGAGGTGCAGGGAGACTAGCCACAACTCATGTACATGCAAGAAAGATACTTAAGATACTGCTCAATCTACTATATACATTATTATCTCTTAACGTGGCTCTAGTGTGCGCTTAAACAGGCGCTAAAAGTTGGTGGGGTGGGCCACTCGCTTGCCAACCATCTTATCGAATATTATGAAGTCCGGACGTTCGTTGTCATCGTATAGCGGCGGGTCGGGCATTCTCTGCTGCCGATAGCGGTATTAGGGGCCAAAGCACCTTCCATGTTTTTCGATTATGCTTCTGGCCGCGCTCACTCGACCACGTGATGCTGATCCCTGTCGACCCAGCCAGCCTGCCGCTGCTTGCCTCAGTCGTCCTCCAACCCCCTGTTCCTGGGATCTCCCCACAGCGTGTCTGCCACCGAGCTCGAATTATTGTATCCTTCACCCCTGCCTACAACGCTTGCTATGCGGTTGTTTCCATCGTCACTCCGAGTTCAGAAAGCAGACAGGTGCTACTTGCACAATGTCACTGCTCGATCTGCCGAATGAGCTACTCCTAAGTGTATCAGAATACCTAGCGTCGGAGGGAGACGTCAACGCCGTTGCGCAAGCCAACCGCCACCTCAACCGGCTCTTAGGATCCTACCTATACCGCTACAACGTACAGCAATCTGGAAGCTCAGCGCTGTTGTGGGCTGCCCGACATGGTCGAGAGGCGACAGCGCAAAAGTCGCTGAGGGAAAGAGCCAACATACAGGCCACAGATGACGAGGAGGCGGAGGAGATAGCGCTATTCTTGGCGGCAGAAAATGGGCATAAACAGGTGGTGAAGCTGCTACTGGACAAAAGCATCGACGTCAACGCACAGGATGGATGCTACGACGACGCACTCTGCGTGGCTTCATATAAAGGCCACGAGGCGGTGGTAAGGCTACTGCTCGACGAAAGCCCTAACTCGAACGCACGGCGCGGATACTACAGCAACGCACTTTACGCAGCTTCACAAGGAGGTCACGAGACGGTGGTGAGGCTGCTACTGGACAGGGGCGCTGACGTCAACGTACAGCGCAGACACTACGGCAGCTCACTCCAGGCGGCTTCGCAAGGAGGTCACGAGGCGGTGGTCAGGCTGCTACTGGGCCAAGGTGCCGACGTCAACGCGAAGGGCGGAGTCTACGGCAGCTCACTCTACGCAGCTTCGCAAGGAGACCACGGGGCAGTGGTCAGGCTACTACTGGACCGAGGTGCCGACGTCAATGCACAGTGCGGACACTACGGTAACGCACTCCAGGTAGCTTCAGCTAGAGGCCACTGGGACATCGTGAAGCTACTGCTGAGCAAAGAACCAAACAAGGCTATTCTGACAGCAAAGAATACCCCCGCTCAACATAACGACTAGCAATGTCCACCTCGACGTCGTCAGGTTTCTGCTGGAACAGGGGCCATAGATTACGGGTCCCGGTATTGACACTGCCACTCTATCTCAAGCCGTCTGATTTTCAAAGATCGTCAGAGTCTGTTGCGTCTCTTTCATGACCATTGCCACAGCCACATATATCCATCTGTATGCAGCCTGATGAAGCGCATGATGTAACGACGCAAAGCCACCTCTAAGTTCCCGCTTTACCTTGACCAGTGCTCACGGGCATTTGACGACCGTGACTCCCTCACTACCGTCAGAGGTCACGCCGAAGCACCTCTCGAATGTCCTGATCGTTGGCTGGTCTGCGAAGCTGAAGAGCGGTGCGACGATCAGCCTTCCTAGCACCGAAGCGTACGTGTCAGATATAGTCGTCTGTTGCGTTGTGTCTAGAAGCTACACGACGGCATTGTTGGAAGCCAGTTGCGGCCTAGTTGCTGGGCAGGTGGTTGTCAACATGGGCTATACGTCGGGGCCTGTGAAGCTCACCCTGCTCCTGATCTGAGTCCGTCTTCGCACGTCATAGGGCGATTGGCAAAAGCATCGCACAGCCTACCTAAATACACATGTGGAGTGCAAGCAGCGGGCAATCACAGCTAAGCTGCCTCAGGCTTGGTGTCTAGTGAGGCAACACGTCAGGTCGGGATATTGGTAATCTGTGCATTCTCATGAACTGCTCTCAGCCCACCAGGTTGTTCGCTGCATAGGAAGGGAGGTTACTCATCGCCACTATGGACTCGCGCCATAAGCAAGCGTCTAGCGACAGCCGCTGACACCGTTTTAGCTACGTTCTCATTTCTATTCAGACTCTCCACTCTTCCGCGTCAACTCGAAGCACAATATGAAGGGTGTTTGAGTGGTCGGCACGACAACTCTCTGAATATGGCAGCCAGTATCTACCGTCGCCTCTATCACAGCTTCAAGCGACGGCGACAGCGACTAGGCACGCAGCAGGTATTGCATGAATGTTATGATTGCATCCCCAGCTGTCAACTTTGAGCGCTGCGACTTGTTTGTATCTGACGTGGCCTTGACGTCTTCAAGGCGATGGGTGTTGACCATAAATTCCGGTTGCGAGATGTTTGCTGTATGATCTCTTCCGTTTCCCATGGGATGTAACGGATGCGTAGCCTAACATCCCTCCCTATGTAACGGAACACCCGGTGGGCCGGAATGAGCCAACGAGAGGGCAGGGATAGCATCTTTCCCGACACGATACTCTATCTCATTGTTTAATTCCGGCACACAGGGTTTTCTGTCGTATAGGGAGGGACTTTAGGGCGATGCGGGACAGGAGTGAGCATCTCAGGATCGTGGAACTAGTTGAAGCGTCTCCTCACAGAGCCACTCAGCCATAGGCATCATCCGTCAGTGAGGTGAAGGATTGATGAGAACACGATGCGCATAGCTGCTAGGCGTTGTTGACTGTCATGGAGCTAACAGGGTCGCTCGGGCGATTTGGTAGGCCCTTCCTACTTAGACCCAGTACAGCGACGCGTGTCGCGAGTCGTCATAGATCCGTAATCCATAGTCAAGTATGCGCCAACGGGTTTTACTTCTGACACCGAGCCTGGAGCTTGTTCCTCGTGCACACAAGTTCATAGATCCTGTTCTGACTCTGTTTACCATTGACATTTGCCATGGTACCGGTCCGGTAAGCTCTAAGCAGGATACAGAGCATTTGACGCCGTGCTATCGCTCTGTCAGCCTTCGCTCTATGTGTACGAGCGCAATCGACCTCGTGCCTATGATCCGTGACAAACCCAGCTTCGACCTGTCCATATCGCCCGCGACCAAACCACGACAATGCACGAGTACGCATACGCTGTGCTCGGCCTACAAGACTGTGCATCCATCAACATCGCCGGCTATCATAGAAAAGATAGCGAGGCACGATTCTATTCTCAATATCGACGATTGTTGCCCTGGAGGACTGTTGTGTCACTCTCGCATTGTCTTTCCACGGTGCCAAAGGCGTGTGTCCCATGCTGGAATGAAGGAGTGCAATCGTTCATGCAGTGGCAGGATCAGTTCATTGCTGCAGTAATCGTACTTTTGCTATTTGCAACATGGCTGCAGATTGATCTTCTCCCGGCTTCCTTCGCCTATGAGCCTTTGACCAGATCTTGACTGGCTCTCGTGCCATGGCTACGAACAAGTGAGAGGGTGGAACTTGATTTCGTCGCTACGAAGATGGTGGAGAGACTAGTGTTGACGTTCCATGAATGCAATCAATACGACCTACGCTCCACGAAGCTGGACGGACGAATGAGCTATGTCAGATTAGCTCTGCGATCAGGCCTACTGGAGTCTACGATTGAAGCGCGTCAGAGTTGAAACAAAGACTATCGCGGCAGTACTAACTCAGCCCTTGGCTCACTGAGCCATAGGAATCGGCCAACACGCGTAACTCTGGTCTTTGGGCTTCGGCCTGCCGTTTTCTGCGGTGCTGCGAGGCTCGTCGTGACCAACAAGCTTCTGTCCGTTCGATCTAGCGGCCAGATTAGTTGCAAAGGTCCCACCCGAGAGCGATGCTCCATGGTGTTCGGATAGAAACAATCTCATGTCGCTGTGGGTATGTGGCGACGGAAGCTGAGCAGGGAGATGATGCAATCCGATCATTTCGGCAGCGTCCGTAATCTAGAACTAGTTCGAACATTCTCGTTATATCGTTCAGACCCAGGCAACAGGAAAATACAAGAGAGCGAAGACTAGGCTGAAGCGAAAGGTGGGGGTGGATACGTGCTACGCTGGAACAGCAGCAGTATGCTAAGCACTCGCTAAGAGTTAGCTTGAAACAGAATCGTGCTGTGTACTAGTGTGTCTGGGTTCTGTCATACAGACATATCAAGGACTTTGTTGACGTTGTCGTTCGTCTCGGAAAATCTTTGAGGAAAAGTTGTACAACGTCCTACCACACGGTTAGGTGCATGCGTTGTAGCTAAAAAGTTCAGGGAAGAGTGCATGTTATATTCAATGTAGCATTCTAGCTGGGCTGCTGGAAGGTCATTACAGGGACTTATCAGCACCAACGTTCCCTGACAGCGCTTGGCCTGCGACACCCTTGACTCGTTTTCGCGTGGACTGTTGGTGGTCCGGGCTTCCAGATGTTCGGCTCAGCCGCGGAGACTGTTGGCAATCTCACTCTCCGTCATTCTCCGTTAACACCATACTCCGCAACTTTCGCTCTGCGTCTGTGGAGCAGCACTACTATCGATAACGCATCGATTCTCTCCTTTACTCTTGGCTTTCCAGCGTCGCGTTTCCCGTGCCTCTGTAGCTGCGTTGTTTCGTGCACGACGTACAGTCATGGCGCTCAGCATCATCAAGCAGCGCATCGCCTACTATGGTGCAGGCGATCTGATCGCCGCACTACCGCCCCACGACTTGATGGAGTGGGTACTCCATCCTGCAGCAACACCGCCGAAAGCGCTTGTGATAGGCACTTGCGATGGACGCGACGTCCTTGCCTTTATGAAAAGCTTCGGTGGCAGCCCACGCAGGGTGCAGTATTGCTTCAAGCCAACCGACCGCCGGCTCAATGCATCCACAGCACAGTCACTTGCGCCAGACGAGGTGGTGAAATTGCCACTCAACGAGCCGTTTAGGCACAGCGCCGATACCTCTGAGCTGGGGAAGAGGAACCTCGGCATCGTCGTTCAATGGTACTTCGTCAACATGATCGAACCAGAGGTTGACTATGTCAAGTATTGTCCACAACTTTACAATGCTCTGCAGGATATCGACGCAAGGAAACGTGCCGAAGACGAGTCTAGGACACCGAGACCCGAAGAACCTAGGGGCGCACAAGATCAACGTTTGAGTTACCACAGCCATCCTAGTACAGAAGGTGAGGTGACCAGGCAGCTTGTTGCCCCAGGCAAGAGCGCAGAAGAATGCCCGTTAGCCAGCATGAATGACGATGGGCCTTCTGATCTAGAGACACTGCACAATTACTTGGGTTCTCACAACGTGCTTTACTTGCTGAAAAATTTACCTGATGCAGACGAATTCCGATTCGTGCACCAGGACTTCTTGCTCGATGCCCAGCCAAGAAAGCTCTTTGTCGGCTACCATAAAGAACATGGCAACGACATCTATGCGTATATGCGAAAGCCACGCGAATACCACAGGATTGAATTCTACATCGAAAATTCGCACGCACTCTCGAAGACAGTCATCCGCTCGGAAGACGTTGTTAGACAGCGCATCCTGCACCCGTTCGATAAGACTTGTCTAGAAGGTGCCCACAAAATCGGCCAAGACGAGAAAGCACGACTCACACTTATGGTGAAGTGGTACTTCATAGCAGCCGGTGTAGCAAAGGACTGTGTGCTCAGAGAGACGAAGGCTTTTCCCGAGCGCTTGCGGAGTGCACTTGAATACATTGCCGAGCGGATGGGAGCTGCTTCTGCCAGACCACCCTCAATCGACTGCGAACGACAAAATGAGCCTACGACTACACCGGAAGAGGCAAGACCAGCCCAATTCACTACCGCCGAGATTACAACCGGTCTTTTATCATCGCCCAGCACATCTACAACTGCTTCTCCGCGCCCGTCAACTGCTTACGCGGAGCAACTGAATGATCAGGTGAACGCAGTCGACACTCCAATATCGCGACTCGCTAAACGCACTGCTGATGATGCAGAGTTCGAAGACCTCGCTGGGATAGTGTTGGAAGTGCTTGCAACGGACCAGAACCTCAAGAGTCAAATTGACGACATTGACAAGCAGATTGAGGTGTTGCAGACTGAACGCAAGGACTTGGTAGAAAGGAGGAAGCATACAAAGAGAAGATTTACGAGCCAGACTTTGGCGATTGCATCGAAGATGGATGGTAAGAGGCATCAGGACTCGGTTTAGAGTCTGGCGTCCAATACTGCTGCATTCACCATGTCCCGCTGCTCTGGAAACAACAGTGTAACGCAATCCCAACGCAATCCAATGCATAGTGTGTGATACCTTTCGAGTTAGCATGCAATTGAAACCCAGCAAGCATGGCGCAACTGCACACCATGGGTCGTAAACCGACTCGTCCTGTTTTGTGCAATGCTATACGTTCTCGTGAGTGGTCCCAAAGAGGCAGCGCTCGCCATGCTATCGAAAAAGCTGTTATGAAAGCCATGATTTCTGTAGAAGTCCCGGAGATATCCTTTCTCAACTGCTACAACTCCGCTTGCAGCTGGTCTTCGTCACTTTCGATGTCTGCATCGTTGAGAGTGAGGTGGCACTCATTATGTCTAGCACGCTCGTTCTCTGTGACCATGTTCTTCGACAATCCTACAGCACCCGGCCTACCCGGAGCGAAAGCCGTGGCCATGGATTCGGTGAGCGATTGACCAGCTACCACGGGAACGTCGATCAGCTGCTGCGCCATGGATTGGTTGAGTAGTAGCTCCTCCTGGCGGAGCTTTTCTCTTTCCGCTTATATCTGAATGATCCTTTTTTTTACCCTCTTGATTCATCGTCTCCACATCCTGGTTCATTTTTTTGACGTGGGTGTCCACCTGTACATACATAGTTTGCAAACTCGCTTTGCCCAACAGCTCCTCTGCTTGCCGCATGCATGATGCCTAGAGGAAAACCGTGCTCTCCACGATCATGTAGACCATAAGCGTGATTCACTCATAAACCTCACCCTATGGGTCTTGAGACAGAAGGTCACTGAAGCCGTACTAAGCTTGGTATATTCACTGCTACCTGGGATTGTTCCATCGATGATAAATCACCTGATCGACCTCGAACGCGTCGACTGGGTTGCCATAGGCGATATACTACGGTCAGTCACAAACGGCAAGTGACCCAGAACGAACGATGGCATCATTGCTAACGCGCATTCCAGCCCCCCACGACACAGCAATCACTGATATAGGCGCTCTCGCCGATTTACATATCTTCAGCGACTTCAAGACTGCAGCTTGTTTTCAATACTTCCACGTCGGTTGGTGCCTCCACAGTCGTAACGAGAATGCACGCGCCAATCCTGGTATCTCTTCCAATGCCCATTCTGACTGCATCGAGGAACGAGAGCTGGGCCCGATGATGACGTTGTCGCCAATAGATTCGTTGTAGCAGTAATCGCAGTGAAACGGTGTGACAGCGTGTGCATCGCTACCGAGCCGACCGCCGACCGGGCTGTCTGCGCAACGAGATCGGGTGCAGGCCGCGTCTATAGCTGCTCTGGAATAGCGCTCGCGCATACGCTGCACGACTTCGGGTATCGCATCGACGGTGTTGTTGAAGTGATACAGCATAACTGCGCATTGCCTTCGATCATCAACTCAGTGTCGTAGGACATGAAAGGCCCTCCATCTAACATCTTCGACTTCGCAATTCCAGGAGGACTCGCTACTTGCTCATGTCAAGATGGCGATGGCATTGGTGGTGCAGTAATCGTGATAGCTGACAGAGAAGATCACGACGACTGTGTTCTCTGTTGGTGTGCGTTGAACGCTGCCCCAGAAGGGATGGCTGTGCTAAGATCCATATTGTGCGGTGGCTGGTTGTGTACGCGTGACCTTTGACACACCAAAAGCGGGGTTTGGATGGGATGTATCATTCGACAGTCTTCGCTGGACACGTCTCTGTTATGGACATGTACGGGCGCAAGCGGATGTAGAGGAGGAAGAGGAAGAGGAAGAGGAGGATATGGTTGCTCTTCTGATTGCGACACGTGCAGGACATCGCGCCTGTCCTTTCCTCTGTTTGATGTAGGCAGTCGATACTCGCGTTCTTTGACAGTAACGCCACCGTCAGTGTCTGCGATCTGACTGGGAGCATGGGCTTCCTGATGAATGCTGTGGTTGCTACCAAGGCTAGGCTCATTGTTGAGTATGTATGCAAGGTCGTGACCGCGTGGTCTGCTTTGAGTCTGACGTATGTCTATGAGCATTGGCGTTTGGTCTAGTAACGAAGGCAGAGACGTTAGTATTACGCTCTTTTGCAGTATCGTCTTGTCCATGTAGCCTTGACAAGCGATGCCGACACGTATGCAGTTGTTACACTCAGGCTTTGCTTCGTCACACTTCTTCTTGCGCCTTTTGCATGTTCTGCACCCAGTCTTAACCCGCTTTGTGAATCGTCTCTTTCTCCTCGGTTCAGTCCAAGCAGCACCGTTCTTTGGCTTTGTCGCTACTGCTCGCTGTACGCTGCTCTGATCTGTCCCACGCATAGGGGTGTGTGGCTCAGAAGCGAGTATTGCGTTGCTGTAAGTCGGCTTCACTGGGCAAGCATCGCGATCCTGTGACGACTCGGTGTCGCGCTGAGATAGTTCGTGGGACGGAGTGGTCCGTCGCTGGCCATGCCTGCCATCGTCTTCCAGGGGCCGTACGTGCTGCAGTGCAAGCTCCGTGTCATGCGACCTCTTTTGGCTGATCGGCGAACCAATACAGCTCGCACTTACGGAACGCTCTCGCAGAGGTCGCGTAACCACACTTAGTTCATCTGAAAAATGGTCTGCTCTTTCAAGGGTCGATCGAGACCCTCCACTAGGGCTCGACAGGGATATGTCTACACTGTCCGTTGTGGGGGAGGTTAAGTGGCTGAAGGTACTGCAGTCGCTTTTACACTGCCTGAACGCAGAGTCTCGCTCCACTTCCCCACGACCCGGTGGCTTTGGGATTACTGGAACACGGGCGACAGAACCAGTCTGCTCTCGATCAGCAGTGTACATGCTGTTCGCCACACGGACTTGCTGTTCCTGTTCGAGCACTATTCCAGGTTCTCTGACGCTCCAGTCCGATGTCGTCGGGTCCTGAAGACCCCCAGTGTCAGCTTCCAGAGGGCTGTTCTGCTCCGAAGTATGGCGCGCATAGATTGTTTGAACCTTTGCAGGCAAGGGGTACATTTTGGCACTTCTGCTCTCAGACAGGACATTCACGCCCTGCCCGACACATGCCTGTCCAGGTGTAATGTTTGCGTCCAGTCTCAACCCTAGCTGGGAGGATAACGCCGAGGGTGCAATCGGTGCACGGTCCGTTGCTGCAATAGGCAGAGTACATGCACGCTCTCTACGATGCTGCAGAGTACATCCGCTCTGTTTTGCAGATAGCGACATTGACCGCTTGGAACGTGCTAAAAGTCTTGAGCGCTCGTCGCTCACCTCGGGCTCGGCCGGTGCATGCCGCGTCGCGGTCTCATGAATCCGGCCATCTTCGAAAAGTCGTCTCGGTGGTCGTTCTGAAGTTACCGATCCCAAACGCTGCTCCTCGACTGAGCCACCCTCAGGTGACATAGGTGTAGCTTTTTCGAGAGTTAGTTCGCTCGATATCTTTGTGCAAGACGTCGCCCTGTCTGCTGCTCGAAACTCTGGCGCGTTGTGAACAGCCTCATCAGCAGGTGCGGAAGACACGACCTCCGGATCCTCCAGCTGGCCCTGCGTCTCCTGCTTCTCTCGTGTCTCCAAGGCTGTTCTGGTTGTGAGCAACCCAGGCAGCGGTGAACGCTTCTCCTTGAGCGTACAAGCATCGGATGTTTGCAACTCCCGCCTAGCCAGCTCCGACGGCTCCAGCCCTCTCTGACACAAGCTTTGGAAAACCTCATGTTCCTTGCATCCTGCGTTCTGAAGCCTTCCTACAGCATCAGGTTGCGACGATGTTTGCATAGCGTCAGCACTGTCAACTTCTTTGATGCAAGCTGAAAACTGGGCATGTAGGCTGCGTCGCAAACCCAGCGCAGCCGGCTTCGTAGCGCTCAGATCCTATGGACACACAGTCAGCAAGTGATGCTAGCATTCTCAGAGCAGAATCAATCACCTCATCCGTATAGCCAGAACCGTCTGCGGTAGCTGGTTCTGGCTGGTTCGAGCCCGATGTCTCCTCTAGCGTAGTCACAGTACTAAATGTCAGACTAGTGTTGTTCTGCCTTGAGCATGTAACACCGCACGTGTGCAAGGTTCCGGCTTCCAAGGCACACGCAGTCCGCTCTGAGCATTGCATGGGCGGACTGGAATTGCGCTGTGACTGACGCGTTTGCTGTGGAGAAGCGGTCGATATGCTTCGACCTGGATTCACACCCTCCATCGGTGGTTGATCAGATGCCGCTGTTTCCAGCGACTCACGCAAAGAATGCGTTCGATCGGCGGCTTCTTCGGATGGCTGGGCTTGATTGCGGGCACGTCTTGTAGTGGTGCTCCAAGCAGCGGTGGTCTTCTTCCAGTCTGCTTCTAGAGCCAGAGTGACGAAGCTGTGCGGTTCCCACGTCGGCTCGTATGGACGTCCCGTTTCTGGGTCGCTGCCCTCCCAATCGACTAGATAACACGTTCCATTGTCTTTTAGGATCCTTCTCGCCGCCCAGAATACTTCGCCAGCAGGCCCATGTATTCGATAGGATCCAGGTGAGTTGGTGTGGGCGAGCCGAGTTGTTCGACGTCGCTTGCCTTGGGTGAGCGCGTTCGAAGTCCGTTTTCGCTTCTTTGCTGTTTGCTTCGAAACCATTTCGCGATACGACACTGGGTGGTGATGTAAACTGGCCAAACTTCTTGACACCGGCTCTGCTAGTCGAGAGCGTACGGTATGTGCGTGTGTGTATATGTGTGTGTGCTCGTCTTACATATTTCCTAGTGCTGTCTCTGCTCTCATTGCGCACGTTCTTAGCATGTGGTAGGCTTCGCAAGCGGAGCTGGCCAGGGCGCATGCACGACGGGTTTCCTGCTCGGCGTCAACAAACTGTGCATGAAAGCGGAGAGCGGTGCGACTTAGCGAGATTGGACCAGGGCGTCCTGCAGCGAAGACAGGGCAACACGTCGCGCAGCTTTGCTCACTAGTTGGTTCGCTTGGGCGGCGCGGTCGCCAAGACTAGAATGTCCGTGCACCGCTTGCGCAGAAGCCTGCTATGCGCCGCTTTTTGTCAACACTGCCACACACCAACGATCACTGATATCGAGGAGACATTCGCAGAGCGTGACTCAATACCTTCTGGCGACAAGGTCTCGTGGTAGACAACAACTGATGCCCATGGTGTTGTTCACTCAACGCTGGCGTGCAGGCACCGATGTGAAACGCGCTGTTCTGTATTTGGAGAAATGAGGATAACCTCCCTCTCTGGATAGCGAACAGCCTAGTGAGCCGAAGCCAGCCAATAGAGGTGCACGAGTAAGCGATATCCCGGGCGGCTGCACTGTTCCACTGGCTGACTTTGGTCCACCGGGTTGCTCGCTATGCAGGGAGGGAGGTTGGGTGATCCAGCTGCGCCAGCTAGAACGACATGACGAGAAGCAGCATGACAATACTGAGCAGGCGTGCATAGCACAAATGAGTCGCGACTGTTACTGCACTACGCCGATCGCTGACATGTATCACTCTGTAAGCTGACCATAGCTAGATGTGAGAAGGACGCAGTGTGGATCTGTGCATGATGTGCACGGACATGGCAGCAGTGGCAAGAGCTCGGCCGGACGCTAAGCTGAGCGGCGTCTGGGCGTCGCGCTGTTTGTCTCACATGACGCGCACTCACCAACGACAGCAATCGCGTCGAACGTTCCATCCTAGGCGATCGCATCCTACAAGTATACCCTATCGCAAGCGCGTTGCCTCGTGGTGCCGCCGAGTTTGCGTGAACGCTACGCAGTAACAGCGCGGCGTTCAGACCGCCGACAGGATCTTGAGCTAGATACTTCTGATCCCTCGCAAGGGATGCCGCTCGACTCAAACCACATTCTCCATGCTTGGACAAAGCAGCACAGAAACGGACCAAGCACAAACAAGATGCCAACCGAACCAGAGAAACGTGGTCTGCTTGGGTTTACCGATGTCGAGGCAGAACACCCCAAGTGGTACATCCGGAGGCTGTGGCTCGTCGCAGAGAACGACCGCAAACCATTTCCCATGTTTCTGGACCCGCAAGTTCAGGAGCTTGCAACGCAGGTAAACAGGGTTGTCAACACGTTCGTGAAGGACGAGGATATGCGCCATGAAGAGCTGTGTGGCGGCGCGTTCCTCGAAAAAGACGCTGCACATATACTCAACGAGCTGGGCTTTGGACAGCGCATCTGGGGCGACGGTTCTGGGGCGGAGATACGACTCGGGAGCAATCTGTCAGGGCCGCGCCCTCGATGGGGTGTCCGCGCAGACTCTGGATACAAAAGCAACGACGAAGACAGGTAAAGCTGTTGGCCCGGGCGTCTGCGAACAGAATACTAATGCTGGCAGCATTCGAGATAACCTGAGGTACTGGATGGCTGCTCTGATACAGGCTAAGATCAACGCGCCTTGCAAAGAGAAGAAAGGTGTTCCGTCAGTGACAGTGGAACGCATGGAACAGCTGCCGCAGGCGCCTACATCAGTACCTGCATCACCATCACTTCCGCAATGGCCTGAACGTATGCAGAGCGGTGGTAGTCCAGACACGTCTGGTCTCGCGCCGTCTCGCTCGAAACGTCGAAGGAGTAGTTCTGCAGCGACGGCAGAAGCAGAAACCAAAGCAGCCAGCAACAGACCCAGAAGTAAAGCACGCTCGGACGACTCAAGCGGTTCAGTCGACACCTTTTCCTTCACGAGCTACATACACACAGGTCCAGATGCAGACTTTCCGCACTTGAGAAGCGACGGATACAAATGCCCACGGACAGACAACTCGCAGCGTCGGTCACGCTCTCTGTCTCGCCGACAGAGCCTTGGAGCCACACTTACCGCGGGTGACAATCCACCGACTGACACCGCCGTCATTACAACGCCGGATGTGGCCAGTGACAGCGGAAATAACATGACCACCCATGAAGACGACCTACCTAGGGCCATTGCGGTGAAGCGGAAGCTGCAACTTGACCTTAGTCGACTTTTGAGCAACAAGCCAGATTTCACTGGCATCCTACACGACATCATACCGCCCACGAGGAAGCTTTATGCGATCAGTCCCCATCGCAAGCCTTACAGTGACATGGAGGTTGAGTTTAGAAACTTCAACCGAGCATTGGACCATTGGGGAACTCTAATCAGAACGCGCATGGCTTCCCCTGGTGCCGTGCAGTCGCCGGCTGAGGATCACCTCGAAGCGCTCGCCGCTAAAGGGACATTTGCAGATCGCGTAGCTATGCTTCACAAGTTGGGTCCGAGATCGCACATAGACTTTCCCTTCAAGCAATGGACCATTTCCCTGGCCCTGTTTTTCGAAGGCCTGTTGGGCGACACTTACATGCCTCTTCCGTTCAGAGATCTGGTGGATCGACTGAGAACTGTCAACCGGCCTTTGTATGGTGCCGTCCGCTATGGTGAGTAACCGAAGTAGCGGCAAACCGATGCACAATGTACTGGGCACCTGATGTTCCATGATGTCGAATACCAGCCTATATTCTGTGCCGTATCATACTAACGTCCGTCCCTATGCAACGAGAAACCCGGTGGGCCGAGAACGACCAATCGTATCGCGAAGATCGCGCCCTTGTCCATCCTCCATGCAATATGATTGGTCGTTCTCGGCCCACCGGGTTTCTCGTTGCATAGGGACGGACGTTACACTGACCTTATCTGATAGCCATATCTCTGGACCATCGAATACATTATGGACAAGAGCGACACGGCTAGTCAAGCATCCATTCCGCATAGCACTCCAGTCTTAGCTTGCCTCGCTGCGAGTAGGACGATACGGACCTGGTCGGCCAAGGCACGAATGCAGGACAAGCGGCTTCTCTGGAATATTACTTCCTGCTGTCCAACACTGTTCAGATGCTTTCGTGCGCTAGAGATCTGGACTTTGCGGACGCATCTAGAGAAGAACTCCACAGCACTCTCCATACAGCATCAGACGCGTCCGTCCTGAGCGCTGCTCTCTGGAAAGACAGATTGACATCTACATCCAAAACAGCAGTAGCACCGGCTGTCGAGAGCCAGTCTGGTGGACAGAGGCGAGAGCATTCACCTGTTCAGCGACTGGAATAGTCTCAAAGCAGTCCCTTGCGACCACATCTCACTCTTCAGCACAGGCGGATTTACTCCGCAGTCATACGTCCACCCTTCCATGCTCTTGTCAGGTTGCAAGAAAAAGCGACACATTCGGGCATATGCTATCGCAGTCAAAATGCTGAGGGTAGATGTGTTTGGTGAAAAACTTGTCATCTTTGCACTTGCAAAATATCAGGCGTCCTAGGACTATGTGAGCTTCAATGTTCACTGGACAAACACGTCTCAGTTGCTGAGGAACGACCCGCAAGCACACACAGTCCTGCTCACCAGTCTGAACGCAGATTGAACAGAGCCGGTCGTCAACCAAGTCGGCGACATCACCAAGGACTGCTTAGAAGCCGCCGGCGCTGGTTGGGCTTTGGGCTCACGCTCGAGCTGCGTCCCGATCATCGAGCTGGACTTTGTTGTTGTAGTCTCCTGGCTATCGACCGCCTCTTGATACTTGAGCGATTTGTACTCTGACGGCTCTTCAGACATTGCTACGCATCGCCTTCCCGGGTGTGTGCACGCGGCACACTTTCGCTTCGGGTCAGATTCAACAAGATAGAGGTCGCCCTTGAGAGAACAGAGAGCCACGGGTCTTTGGCAGATCTGGCATCCTCTAGGATCTGGGTACGAAAATGTTGGCGTCATCGAGTCGAACGTGATTTCTTGGCCTGACGAGCCATGGTTGCTATAGCGGTCGATGCGGCACCTGATGCCAGAACAAGGAAGGGTTTGGTGGGCCCTGTGGCCAAGCGCGAGCATTGAACGAGCACACTAGTCGTGCACTCTGAACCGCGGTCGCTCTACTTCAATAGTTGTTCTATGGCTGGTCCGCGTAAGTTGGCCAGGGTTGCTGTGTGAACGTGATAGTGTATGGGTACGGGTAGGAGATGGATGTAACAACACCATGATCAAGGATTGAAGAGCAGTCAGGGTGCTGTCGGCAGTGAACGTTGACACTTGCCACCTGTGACCATACAGTTACTAGCTATTGCGGCTCTACCCACACGTGCATTATCCATAACATGTGCCACGATCGGGTCGATAAACGATCAACCACGTCGACTGTTGTGCGGACAGCTGATGTTAAGCCGCGTACAGAAGGTGGAACAGCTCAAGATTGTCGCGCAACTGTGTTAAGCGTGAAGCCGCCATCGCTCAATACTGCGCAGAGACCATGTGCTGCTTACCATTGAGCTTTGAGGGTGCTGGAAGCTAAGTGCTTGCTGAATGGTCAAGCTATGTCGGTTGGTTATTGAGTGTAAAACTACTCTTTTGGCTAACGTCGGTCCCTGCGAGATGGGGACACCCTGCGTGCTGGGACTGGCCAATCAACTTCCAGATATTGGACAGAAGTCTATGATTCAAGTGAGCTGATTGGCTGGTCCCGGCACGCAGGGTGTCCCACCGCTTCTCTAAACGCCTCTTCTTCTAACCACTTGACGGAATCTGTGTCTCGCAGGCAATACAGGAAAAGCGATCGACCGTCATAGTTCAAGACCGCACCCTGCGATATCTTGTTGTAGCCAGCCTTCCTAAGCTGGCTCTGGTCTTCGGGATCGGTGAACTTGGGAACTTTGTTGCAAAGGTCAATGCCTCTGTTCTTACAAACATTCTTACTTACGACTTCGTATCCTTCTCCTGCCTTCACGAGTCTCCATGGCGAAGTCTTTGCCAACACTTCTGGCTTTACGGCGTTGCTTGGCTTGTTGTTTTTCTTGGTGTTTGCTCCAGACATGAGAGATGGAAGTGACGTAGCGAATCTTGGAAAGGTAGTTCGTTCGCTGTATCTCAGCTGTGTCCAAGCCCTTATAAAGGCGCGAAAGTAGTGGATATAATTGCAATGCGCACTGTCAGCGATACTTCCATAAGCGACGTCTTCATAACAGAAATATCGGACGTGAGATCTGACTACTCTTGCAGCAACCACGATCTGTCTCGAACATGTGCATATTACGCTTACTGGACCATGTCTTACCACGGCCGTCACATCTCAGATCAGCGCACTCTGATGCCGTCATGCTCATGAGTGAGCGCGCTGACTGAAAGCGTCATACGCATATCTTTGCCAGGGAGGTCCGAGACATATCAAGAGTGAGCGCCCCCGACGGAGGCTGCCGTCTGCTTTCTACAGTAGCCCTCGAAGATGCGATACCAAACACGTGCTACAATCTTAGTGCTGGCAGCGAACTGGGCCAACGCCCACTCGTGGGTGGAACAGCTCGCCAACATCGCCTCGAATGGCTCGTATGTGTCTAGCTTTGGCTATCCGCGAGGTTTTGCAGACAAGACCGTCGGCAGCAGCTTCGACCAGGAAGCCAACAAATGGCTTCTACCGCGCCACGCAGAATTCATCAACGAGACAGATCCCCTTTGCCACCCATCTCAACGCGTTCCCAACCAAGCAGGTGAATTTTCTCGTCTGCAGACCAGCCCAGGCAGCATGGTTGCGGTGCGTTATGCTGAGAATGGCCACGTCACCCTACCTGGCGGTGGAAAGGGTCTCGTGGGGAAGCCAGAGAAGGGCGGTACGGTGTTTGTGTTCGGCACAGAGCAGCCGCGCCCCGATGAGACTCTGCAAAACGTGTTACAATGGACAAGAGATGGGAAGGGAGGCGATCGAGGTGGCAGACTACTGACCGCCCAAAACTTCGATGATGACAGATGCTACCAGCTTAGGACTGATGTCACAGCGTTGGGGGAAGCCCGTCGGTCAAAGACACCGAACCCGAAGCCAGGACAGCCCGGCTCAGAACATGAACTTCTCTGCGAGACAGACGTGAGACTACCAGATGATGTTGCCGTTGGCCAGCCCTACACGCTCTATTGGGTGTGGCAGTGGCCCACAGCACCGCAGGCAGAGCCCGGGCCCCTTCACGGGAAGGACGAGTACTACACATCGTGTATCGACGTGGACATTGTCTCCGACCTGCCGCCAGACCAGAGTGGCACTGTGCTCAGAGACCAGGACCCAATGACGAGGGCTGTGTCCAATTTTGGATCTCGCACCGCGATGACCGTCGACCCGCTAGCATTGTCGTCGCAGCCAGGCTTTGGGCAGCCCACCAGAACCAGCGGTCATCCCCCTCCTATCAGCCAGACTGTCACACCCTTGTATCCACCCTCACCCTCTGCATAGATCTTGCGTTACCGCCCATGCGCTAGCGGCCATCTCACTCCAAGGCGGGCGTGAGTCGCGACCGTATCATGTTCAATGGCAGCAAAGAGGTAGAAGTTCCATAGTCACAGGCTTCTATGGGCCGATATGAATGCAAGCCCCATATCCGTTCCTCCCAGCTACCTTTGCTGCCGTGAATCAAGCGGAATGAAATTCGCGGGTGCTACTGCGATGAGCGCACAACCGAATCTAACACCCAGCCTCCAGTGACTGTCCCTCGGGCCAGGCACAACTCCCATGACGTCCCTCCCTACGCAGCGAACATCCCAGGGTGCCGACACCAGTCGACAAGAGTGTACGAATAACTAGCAATCCGACTCTTCGCGATGTTATGTTGACTCATTCCGGCACACCGGACTCTCCTTCATACAAGCGGAGATGTCAGGCCGCTTGTGGATAGTGCCGCATAGACGCGCCCACTGTCTAGACATGGGCCCAGCCATTATCAGCAAGCACCTGCATTTCGTTGATGAGACAGATCTCCCCATCTTCCTCGTTTTCCCTGCTCACACTTCTCCACCTCGCGACTCGTCTTGATACCTCCCATCCTTCCAGCCAGGATGGAGTTGTCCATCGACGGATGCGATTGTTCCACAGGGCTTTGGAGACCTGCCAGGGGGAAAGCAGCAATCCTTGTGGGTGCACGTAATTGTATGCGTTCCCACTGTACCCCACACGAACCTGAGGGTTTACGTATGTTCGCTTGTTGACACGAAGTGGATTGTCTGCGTGTATCAAGCAACACTCAGACCCTTCGAGATGCCAAGCCGCAAGAGAGTCTGCAATGCCACGAAACTGCAGGGGGGGACTTGAAACGAAGGGCTCGGTAGGCATCACAACTGCATCACAATGTAATGAGTTAGCCGCTGACAGGAAGATAGATGAGGGAACAACTGTTTAGGTGTTAGAACCCACTAACAGTACCTAAACTCACCTATGCCGTTCCAGCAACTAGTCACAGGCACTGGGTCATTTCTCAACATCGCTTCTCGGGACTCCTTGGCTCGGAAGTACGGCCACGTCTGCATAAGTGGTTCATGGCCCTCGGCATCTCGGAGCGCAAATGTGTCGTAGAATTGCGGAGGACGACTAAAGTCCAGTGAGCAAGCGGCTGCAAAGTCTCCGTCGTTTGTGTTAAGCAATCGGAAGACGTCGTCCGTCTGTGCTATCGTCAGCTACTTCGGCCATTTCAAGTGTGAGCCAGTTTGTAAAACATACATCGAACACAACGTCGTTCAGAAAAAGAACTTTATCAAACTGCTCTCCCTGCCGAGCTAGCTCCTGCAAGGGCAAAAGAATCCAGTTGCGAAGCCTAGAAAGATAGGGTATCCGTCTGAGCTCTCTTCTTCCTCTAGGTGTGTCGATCCAGCCGGAGCCCTTCTCCGTTACCGAGATCTCGTCCAGATGAGTAGTTTCCGAGAGAGTTATGTTTCGCCTGATATCAAGTGCCGCTAGCACCGCGTCAAGCTCCCTGAGGGCGTCTTTGCTATCGTCCCAGCTCCCGCTTTCGTAGATGGCAATGAAGACGTTCTCTCGGCCGAGCGCGTCTGCTAAAGCAATCACAGCATCGTTCCAATGACTCCGCAGAATCTGCTCGCTGTTCCAGTGTATACTGGCAATGTATACTCGTTCCGATCGCTGTGCAACGAACTCGCTCGTAGGGCCCGAATGGCAACGCAGGATTTGTGTAACCTCGAAAACATGGAACAGGATAGAAACAAGAAGGAGAAATCGGTGGATTGGACGACGAAGTAGCGCTCGTGAGGTGCATATCATGGCTTTCATCGATGCTTCGTGGGTGTGTACTGCAGGTTGAGGTCAGCAAGCGATCAGCGATGTCATTGTTCAGCTGCATGTAGATAGAAGCCAGCTACATCTGGGCGAACAGGAAAGTATGTATTGACATGTGTGGCTGTCCCTACACGCTCTTACCTAACATACAATGGTCCACAAGTCGCCGTGCGAGTCATATCAAAGCCCGTGTATAACCATCTCGCGTCTTGGGATCATGTCTGAGTGAGTATGAAGATGTCATTCATACATGACACATAAGTCACTCATGTTGCTTACATCGATCGCGACAGACCTTGTGTGTCGTCGCCAAGAGGCTTGTGTGTGAGCCATGCAGTTACTCTTTCCTGGAGTTGCGGATTGCGCGGCACTCCTGCTTGCATACGACGTATACTCTATACACAAGAAAAATCATCTGCAATCTTTCTCCGCACGCGCACTATGCGGTATGGCTGAAGAATGGTGATTGGTGTTCCGTCATCGGAGTTGTCATACCACTTATCCACGTTGGAGCAAGCGGTAGGTATGACATTATCTGAGGCTGACTCGTCGCGCACACGACATTCATGACATGTGGGGTGCGCTGGCCTCGAGCAAATGATGATCGCGTCAGTTTCAGCTTGTTGCTTGCCAGATTCCATGTGCGTGGCTTTTCCATCGATTGGCTGCGCATCTGCGTGTGGATGCTGTCCCGGTGTGGTCTCTACGTAGCTTTACTCTGATCAGTGTGTCCAACAACCAAGTAAGTTACTTGGTTGACACCAGGGCTCCAAGATAATGTGGACCTTCTGAACCGGCCGGTTCCACCGGTTGCTTAATGCAAGCGGATCGTCTTGAGGTAATTGGCCAGCGTCGAACGTCGGTGCTTCAGGTTCCAACTAATTTAGTCCGGCCCACTGTAGTGCTCTAGCGCCCTGATGTCAAACAAGCAACTTACTTGGTTGCTGGACACACTGACTCTGATGCCCCATATCCAACGTCCGCAAACGACAAGCACCACTCAGTGAGATGAGCCGACTTAACAGGCACCGCTCGATCCCTCCCACACTTCCAGAGATCTGAGCCTGCCGTATATCTGCATTGTAAATACTTCAGCATCTCTTGTCATGTTGGAGTCAACAGATTACGGTAGTTGTGATGAAGCTCTTGCGCCGAGCGAAGTTCAACTTAACATAGTGATAAGCTCGGACTAGCTACACGTCTTCTGGGTTTGAGCATCTTGGAAATCAGGGAAAAGATCCGAAAACAAAAGTGCATATGCCACAAGTCTACAAGTAAGTCTTGTGAGGATTGGCTTGGATTGAACTTGTTATCACCTCGTCGAGGGGCACTTCTTGCTCCCATGCGATGGTCATTAGCTAGTTTTACAACGATCCATAGCGAGGTAAAGCTACCTGCATAACAGCGTATCCTATGTTACCCTATCTCTTACCATAGAACTCTACATGACTTTGTTCCTGGGCTGAGCTACGTACATATAATGACCCCTCAGCTTGTGCTCGCGAGTATCGCCCTCCCGTACGTCATCTCTCCTTTTGCCGATACGATCTGAGTTTCCTTTGTCTGTACCAACCGGTCAGCTTAGCCTCACAAGTCCCGCTAGTAGGGTATGCTCATAACGTACATGCGGTCGCACAATCCGTAGCTTTCCACTACTGTCCAACGATTCGATAGCAATCTGAAGCTGGAGGTAAGAATCAATGAAGAGGCTGTTTCGTGCGCTGAGGAATAAACTAACCCTTCTTGCGCACGTGGTTCCACTGACACCATGGGATATCGATCGTTGGGTAAGGGGTTTTGTTCGTAGGGCGGCGCTGAACCTAGGTCCGGCGAGGGCGCGCCAGATCGCTCAGGTCGGTCTGAGTAGTAAGATCGTCCAAACAGTCGATGCACCGGGTCAATGCGATAGAGAAAAATGATTATGCACATGTTCAGAGGCAAAGTCTTTCGAACAAGTCCGTGTAGATGACTGAAGATGACCTCTATGCGTTGCAGATAGGTGTTAAGAGTGCAAAGATCGATGTACTGTGACGTAGAACCATCTTGTAGGTTTCGAGGACCCCGTAAGATGCTCTCTATATATCATGGTGTGGCCTACTCGTCACAAGAGAACGGTATGTGGACCTTCGCTCCTGACTATCAGCTGCTTATGCTAAACCATCCATCCAACAAGCGGCCCGACTTTGGCGAAGGGTGCATCGAATGGCTGCAAGACACAGTGTCGCAGGCCAGGCGCTGCTGGCAACATAGACCTTGTTACTGATAACGCTGTGCGACAATCTCCGTATAAGCAGATTCAGGCTGCTAAGAACGTTGGTACACGTAAGCTCTTTCCTACTTTGTCTAACCATGATATCCGTACCAAACTGTGTGGTCAGCTTTTTTCTGCAGTTCTGTTCCCTGCTTGAATTATAGGCTCGCACGAGCTACCCTTCTGCAGGCTCACGCTGGACATTTGCTGCACAACCCCACCTTCCCTCCATACTACCTGTCATGTTGAGCTCGGCATGCGTTCGCTATCTACTATGCTACTGCGTTGCTAGACAATCTTCATCACTATCTAGACCAAAGAAAAGCCGCTGGGCATGAATCAACACGCGTAGCCATCGCTGGTGGCAGAGCGTCTTACTGATAAAGCAGATGCAAGGTCAAGCCATGAGTTGGCCCTTCAACACCGAGAAGTCTCGGCGAAATGGAGAGATGATGACAGCAAAGGCGGACAAGGGTGAGAATAGACAACATGCTGACTCCAGAGAACAGTTTCTCGAGAAGAGGTATAGCCTAGTATTTACAGGCATCGTGGCGCTAGCCGGGCCACGAAAGAGCTGAGAACGATGATCGAAAGCGGTCATCTTGACTGTCACAACGAAAGCTAGTCTGCAAGTTCCCTATCTGCATGCCCTGGGGGACACATCCGGTAAGCAAAAGGTAGAAGTGGTATGTGGTCTCATTGTTGCGTGTGTACGCATAAACGTGTGTCTGAGCGCTGAGATAGTCAGACGGATCAGTCATGGTTGCAGAACGGTCATGTGATGTGGTCCCAGGCTTTCATGCTCTTCTGGAAGACGCTTGACGTAATCCACGAGCAGCAACGTACTTGCAGCGATGGAAGCTTACGTTTTATCTAGTAGTCGTGAACTGTCCCGTTTCGATCTTGTAGGAACAAGACGGGACAAGATAGATTGTACTGTCTGGGTCTCCCTCCCTCAAATAATTGTACCTGCATCGCTTGCAAGATGTAACACATAGCCGCATCTCCTTGAGCAGACGTATTCTTCAAAGAGACTGGCCTTTGTCTGGCATGTCATACTGAGAGTACACGCGCATCAGACCTCGCGTGTAGATCAGTGCTCCGACGATAGCCAGGACGTGCATAGCCTGGTGGCTCGCACCTGGCACGCCTAGCTTCTTCTCAATCAACTCGTCCAGCAGGTTTGTTGCATAGATGACGCCTCCCGACCCGTTGACGACAGTCATAGCCACAAAATCTGCAAGAAAGCCCGTATCCTGACCTTGCGCATGCAAATGCCAAAAACGCAGCGCAGGAACTGCTGCAACACTGCCCATCATCACGTGCGTGCGCACGCGAAAGCTGCGCTTCGAGGTGCCGCACAGCAAGCCAGTCGATACGAGTATGCAACAGATCGTGGCGGCGGCGGTCACAAGCAGGATGCTTCCTTGGCGCTCGCAATAGGACCAGCCAGAGGAGAGTACTGCAAAAGATACAGAGGAAGCCCAGATGGCCCACACGATTCCAACGTGATCAAGGCACAGCCAGACGTCGGCTGCATCATGGTCTGCGAACACATGGAAGAGTGTCGAGCATGCAAAACAGAAGGCATTTGCCACCAGGTATATAAGAACGGCTGCAGCGCTAGGAGAAGACAGACTCGCAACGGTACCAGCGAAGCGTGCTGCGATTGCGGCGAACCATAAGGCGGCGAGTAGATGTGACCATATGTTGACCGTTTCGGTATGGATTTGCGTGATCGAGACGATAGCGTCCCGGTAAGAGGTCGTGTAGATCCGCCGTTGACCAAGATTTGAGTAGCTTGTTCGATGACCGATACTGTCCATGGCGCAATAGACGTTCAGTCGCGTCCATCTGCAAAGTATACGAAGACGTGTCTTGTATGCTACAGTGCTGAAAGACTAGCCTCCAGCTTGTCAGCGCTGACTGGTGATGATCTCCCAGAAACTTGGTGCCACAGCAATCTGTTTCACCCAGCGCCCACTGAACAAGCAAGCCCTGCAGATGCTCTGTTGATTCATGCCAGTCGCTGCATGTGCTTACCATGCGTAGTGAGCTAGATCACATGCTGGCTGGTTCCGAGCGATCAGCAGCTTTACTGGCCGACATGATGTGTTCATGCTGGCCATCGAACGATAGCGCGTGATAATTTTGGTGTTAACACGAGATGCGTGCATCAGAGATTGCTTCTGGTAGTCAGAACATGCGGTAGGACCGTAACAAACCCAACTTGGAGTGGACTCTGTGTGACCGTCTGATTAGCACTCTTCTAAACGACGAGAGCTTGTGCATAATCCACATAGAGCTACGAGTAAGGCGCTAAAAGCGCCCGCACCTTGGAACGCGACCATGCCCACGTTCAGTGAGCAAGTTGGATGCTCGAGCGAGTCGTTGGGCCGTTCAGGATTCACTCACCTCAGGCGCGAACAACGCGGAACCCGAGATACTTCGGAACGAGGACAGCCCTCGACTCATGACCTCGGTGAGGGCTTTCTTGGAAGCAACGTCGGGATGTGTGATTGTCCAGCGACCGCCACCGCACGACGACATCACATGATGAAGATGTAGAGCTACGACGGGCATTGGTTGCAAGAGCTTGAGACAAAGGGGCGTGGACATTGATCTACATTCGCGCAGACAGGCTAACGGGCACTTCCCACCTACGGATGCATACTATGCTCTCTAGTGTAAAACAACATCATGCACAGCACCAAAAAGTCTTTCTTCATGATCTTGCCTCCGT